TCCTCTGGGAGCATGAATCGTTACGTCACCATCAAGAAGCTGGGGGATGGGTCCTATGGCGAAGTGGTTTTGGGGCAACGGGTTGACACCGGGGAACGGGTCGCCATTAAAAAGTGAGTGAGGAAAAACATTTTGAGCGGGAGTCGAAAAAATTTGGTAATATTCGAGGGTTGTCTCAGTTATTGGGCATGACCATTTTTGGACTATATTGAAGGTGTGATCGTACGAACACGCACAAAATTAAGCCCATGATGTTCTACTATATAAGGCTTTGGGCTATTTTTTCTGGATTTTTAAAAAGTTTTTTTCAAGTGACTGAATGATGAAAACTGAAAACGTTTCATTTAATAAGAAAAATATTTTTAGCGTGCTAAAGGTGTGATTGTAAGCAAAATAATGAAGCCCGTAATTTTCCAAGGCTTGGATTTTTCCTTGATTTTTAAAAAGTTTCTCAATTTACTGCATGATGATAAGTGGAAAATTTCCAGTTCCAGAAAAAGTTCCGCAGAAGCGATTTCGGGCCTATGTATAGAATAGCACCAACCACATTTTCTTGCAATTCTTCTTTTTTCCCCACACACAAATGATTATTTTAGGACTAGAAACCTCCTTACGTCAAATTTCTTCTGGGCCCTTGAAGTTGGACGTAAAAAAGTTCATATTTGTATGCAAAATCTCGAGGAATATATTTTTCCGAAGAATTCGGCTCAGTTTTCCATTCATGCAGAAAAATAAGTTCATTGAATTCATTGATAAATTATTATTAATTTTCTGTCCTATAATAGTAGCCCAACATGCTCATAATATTATTTGTGAGAGAATTACAAAAATGTTTGTGCGTTCCAGTGTGATAATTTGATTGCATTGATAGCAAAATATTTAATTTCCCAATAAGTCCAATTCTGTATAGAAAGTGATTCAGTGTACTCATTTTGAACTTTCAAGGCTGTATTTTTTTGGAGTGTTGTTGGAGTTGTGTCCTGCTTGAACTTATTTCATTCTTTTTTTTTTTGGATTTAAGAATGAAGAAGAAATATTATTCGTGGGACGAGGCAATGAATCTGAAGGAGGTGAAGAGTCTCAAGAAACTCAGTCATCCCAACGTCGTGAAACTCAAGGAAGTCATCAGAGAGAATGACACATTATATTTTGTGTTCGAGTACATGCGTGAGAACTTGTACCAGCTCATGAAGTCCAGGTGCAGTG